AAAAAAAAAAAAAAAAAAAAAAAGAAGAAGAAGAAGACGAAGGGATGGAAGTGGAGGAGTCTGACCGGTAAACGGGGTAATCATTTTATCCCGCTTTAAGGGAAGCGCTTGAAAGTGTCGTATAATTTTTCCGGAGCACGCGCCGCGCTATTTATGCGCGTAACTCGCGTTTTTCCGCAAGTGTACTCACCGGGTTTTAGCCTGTACCGAGGCTAAGCCGTTTCGCGGATGAATATAAATAGACGTGGCTCTAGCCACGCGGCCCGTTTCCAGTCGTTACAGAGAGAATCGCCTCCTAGTTTCCATTCTGGACGCGGCTCGCCTACAGTTTTCGCGTGGACACGCGCGCGTTGAATTCGCGAATTTCGATTTCCGACAAATTATTTAATTATCGAAGGCCGATTAATTCACGGCCGCGGAAAACGCAGAGAGTGGATCAACCGGTTGTTTTCGAGTGAAAAGTGGGGAAAAAGAGGTTGCTTAGAAATTAAATTAGGGTAGAAAATGGTGGACTTTGTCAAACGAAACACGCTTTCACAATCGATGCGAACGAACGGGCCGATTCGTGGATGTGTAAATGGATTTTCTTGGTTCTATTTTTATTTAATTGAGACGATTGAACTTCTGAATTTTTGATTATCGAGTAAGATGATTATTTTAATTTGGATCGTAGATTTATGTAATAATGATTGAAGAACGTTTAAGAGTAATTGTTATATATAATAAAATATCCGAACTAATTGGGAGAAATTTTAAGAAGAATTAAGTTAGTAAATATTTAAAAGAATATAAGAATTAATTAGATCATTAGTTAACTGAAATTTGGATAATCTATATATATAAATACAAGTGGGTCCATAAGAATACAACTTTGTTTTTTAAACTTAACTTTATAAGAAGTTATAACCATAAACTGTAATGAGGATCTATCTAGAACAGTCACACGCTATTCAAGAGCAACAGTTTCAATCATAGAATTCTATAAAGAGTAAGACATCTAAAAAAGTGCATAATATAATGGGATCCGTAATCAAAGTGACAAAATTTCGGAAACAACAAAATCAAGAGAACAATAGAACTTTTGATTCGATTTTTCAGAACAGAAACTTATATTCTTGCTATTTCTTTTCAAGAACATAGAATAGAACACATAACATAGAAATGGCAAACAAAATCTTGCGCCTGTAACAAAAATTTATTTTAATTCAATGAAAGATCTAAAGATTCGAAGAAGATTACATGGAAATCATGACTGGGAAGGATGGAAATGAAAAGTCAAGTTTCACGGTAGACCTTAATTAGATGATGCATTATGGAATTCGCGATTTCAAGCGGTACACGATATCACAAGATATTCGCAACGAAATATGGTGGTCCGTGGAGAACGACACTCGTGGTTGGCCAGCGATAAGTGACGTTACACGAATCATGGGAGGGGCAAAGAGGCTGAAAGTAATAAAAATAAGTAATTACTCGGAGTAATCGGCCACCATTCCGGATTCCCTGGGACCATGGTCGTTCAATTAGCTGAAAGTGTTCTTTCACTTCCACGGTTACCGCGGCAACCATTGTCCGGGACCTTCAGGAATAATACATAGTTGAAACAGGGACGCGAATCTCGAACGAAACGGTGCACTTCCGTATGTTCTTCATTGTTTTTTTACGTGACTATGATCAATCGTACGCTTCTTAATGATGACTCTTTCTATCCTCGTCACAGAGGTCAGAGAAATTCATCCACCTGCTTCATACGAATAGCCTCCCTTCAAACTTGCTCCTATTATCTTGTCGTTTAAAACACACGTAAGACACTGACGATTTCATTGGCAGAGTCGAGACGAAACGTCCTCCTCTTTTTCCTTCCTCTCACGTTACAACGTCGCACAAGTGTAATCAAGATAGTTATCTCGCAACTAATCACAACTCGCAGCAACGTCCTTCACCCGAGATAATCCTGTCTCAGATTGCGATGGGGAAAAGTAAAAAAAAAAGTAGGCTCAATAACACCGAGCAACGGACGTTGAACAGAAAACGAACCACGTCCTCATCGTCATCGTCCTTCTCCTCCACCTATCCCTCTCGCCGCCGTCATCATCGTCCTCTCGTCGTCGTGGAACACGGGCACAGATAGAGCGGGAGAGCGAAGGTGGGTGGGTGGGGGGAAGGCAGAGAGGCGGAGCGTAATAAAAATAAGTAATTACTGCGAGTAATCCTCCCCCTCCGTCGCTGGCCTCCTCATCTTGCCGCCACCCCTCTCGTTCTCTACGAGAGTCGTTCAATTAACGGGAATACTGTTGTCTNCCCTCACTACGTTTCCCTTCCAGTTCCCCCTCCGGCAGCCGGAACCCCATCCCACGCCCAGCGTCCGCGAAACCCGCGAAATGTTTCACTCGCAAAGTCGCGTGGAGTGCGGACTGCGCTCACTGTACGCCGAGGTAGGGCGAAAGAGGGGAGATATCGATGCCCCTCCTTCACTCACGCCCCTGACGTCCATCTATCCTTCCCCCACCGCGCCCGTCCCGCTCCCCGAGCATCGTGCACCATCCCTCCCGCGCTTCTCGCACTCTTACCCCCACCACCCGCGCTCAAACTCCCTCCACCGCCACGCCGCGGCGCTCTCCGCCATCCCCGCCCCCCACTCCGCCGCTCCTAGCTCGCAGCCTATCCACTCGCGCTCGAGGCGCGCTCACTCTGGCCCACTGCGCGGCCCGTGGCGGAGTGGGGGAAAGCTCCAAAGCCCCACTCGCTCGTCCGCCGTCGTGCCGTACGGTTCGTGTCGTGGCTTGTACGTGTTCTACGCGTCGCGCGGTGTGCTCTCGCGTCCGAACGATTCTCACACACCGGTCCACGGTCTACGTTTGACAGCGGAATATCTCGCGATCGACGTTTCGAGCGACGAGTTGCGCGAGATTCGTGACATCGCGAAAACGCGAATCCATTCGTGCTGCATCGTGTTACCTCGCTGTGCTCCGATTTATATTGTACTCCGGCCGTGGACGACTAACGCGGAAGATTGCGACCGAAGGACTGTGTGTACCCATGCTAGGACAACCGTCTCGAGTGGTCAGGAAGACATCGTCGTCCGTTTATAGGAGGATCTTTGGCGCCCCGTTGGCCGACTGGGCTGAACTACGACCCGGAGAGACGTCAAGGTGCACCGTGGCTGGTGCGTTACGAGAGTCGTTAGGTGCTGTGTTCGCGATACGAAGCGGAGCTTAAGATCAATAGTCGAGCGTGGAAGACGCGGGCTTTCGAACGAAAGTTTCGTGTTCTCTATATTCACGGAGGTTTTTCGCGGTGTCAGATCGTCCTCGTTGGAAGGATATCGAGGAGGATCGGGAGGAGCAGTGCGTTGACACCTGTCCGTTGACTTCACCGGACCACTCATCGTCCACAGTTTCTACGCATTAATCGACGGTTTCGAACGTTCGTTTTGTGAGCCAACGGCGACAAGCATCTGTGATCTCTCTTCGAGGAAGAATCGTGTCGTTGAAAAAAAAAAAAACGAAAATTCGAAAAGTGATCGTTCTTTGATCTTGACGACGTTGTGTAGAAAGTGTTATTGTTTGTTGTCTGTTCGCGAATACCATTTGCGGCACGAAGGAATATTACCTTTGACCAAGAACACAGCCTACGCATGCCGTGGATCGAGGTAAGAGTCTCCCGGACAATCAAGATTCACGTAAGCCAGGCTTCTTGCCTACGCTCTGAACGCCTTGCGCGTCTTATCGTGACACCGCTATCTCTCGGTATCTCTCGATCCGTGGATAACGGAGAGCCCTCGTATATTCGACAAATAGAGGAGTGGAGCGCATCTCCGTGTTTCATTGAAAGTTGTTATCTCCCATCCACTCATCAGCTGTTTCCTCGACAAGTGTATCCAGATGGAGGCTGGTAGCAAGGCTTGGTCCTGGCTGGTCTCGGCTGTTTTTGGACACGTCTCGTTACCGATTCCTGATTCCAAAGTTAACCGCTGACCAGGTGTCAAACGTTTCGTCAAATGGCCGCGAGGGTATCGTGCCAACTGGTGGGCACGGGAAGACTGAGAGAAGAAATTTCCGTGTAAGGTCTCGAGGCTGGGGCACGCAGGCGCGTCCGTCGCCACGTGGTCGAATGGTGATCCACGCTAGCCGAGATGTTAACCTTTTTCGAAAATCGAGGGGATCAGCCGCCGGCTGCGGCGATGGCGATGGCCGGTTTGTGGTTGCGGCGGTGGCGGTCGGGGCCCGCCGCGGGGAGAGGGTTGTGCACACGCTTGGCAAAACAAGTAGTTAGTTACGTGAGCGCTGGCAGTCCGCCAAACGAGCCTGCGAACTTTGAAATTGCGTTCGAGGCTTTCTTTCGCCGCGGCGATTATATGCGCGTCGGAGATAGGACAATGAGCGACAGAGTGGGACGGACGAGGAGGACGGAGAAAGGGGATGGAAGCTTATANGCCGCCGCACACGAAGCAGGAACCAGAGAGATTCGATCGCCTTACGCCGATGCTTTTTCGCTTCTAGCTCGATTTCTATTTTGGGGGGAGAGGGAGGGGAGGATAGGCGATTCGAACGAAATTCGCACGACGAGGTCCCCGCTCGAAATTGCTTTTACTCGGCACCCCATTAATCTTTGGGAAGGTAAGAGGGAGAAATAAGCAGGGGGCAAAAGGGCGGGTCGGAGAAAGAATCGTTTCTTTATCGAGATACGCCGGTCAATGCGATCGCCGTTTATTTTCCACGTTCCTGCGTGTCTTTTTTTATTCTCGTTTCAATACGGAGAACAGCAACCGAGCCGAGATGTATATTCGCAGAGTATATAGGGCAAACTGATTATTTTCGAGGACAACTTTGAGTCGCGTTTTGTTATTGGGGGAGAATGCACGAAGATGGGAAATGCTAAAAATTAATTTTGCCGTTTGTCGAGTAATTATGTCGAGTTTATAAATAGTGAGGACTCTCTCTCCAATTATTGTAGTTTAGTTAGGTATTAAATAATAAATATATAATTTCTTTTGAAATGAATCTTTCTCTTTTAATCTAAATTTTATTTTCTTTATGTAAAATATCGCGAAGAGATATAGTTTCATTATTAACCCTCAAAGAATATCATAGAAATTTCATCATTTCTTTTGATAGCTTTGAGGTTTTTTTTAAGAGTTAATAATTGATAAAGAAGAATAAAAATGGTAGAATTCTGGAAGGATTAATCCTAAAAATTCTTTTTTATCGATTATTAATGAAGAAACACGTTAAAAAGAAAATAGAATATATTCTTTTACCGAAAATTATTTATTCAATAAATAACCAAAATATCGTATTACATATGCTGTATCGTTAAAATGACAGTAAAACGATTTTAAAATATCAACAATTATTGAAAAAATTGTTAATATAAATACCAAAAACTTTTTTCATAATTCATCACGTTTATATATAAATAACGATAAAAACTTTTAATGGCCATGATTATTTCAAATTTATAGCAAAAATTATAATTTCTAAATATTATACACTTCAAGAAAATTTTAAAATATAAGAATTATAATCACACGATAATATTATCATTATTGATGTAGATTCTAGATATCTTCGTAATACCTATATTTGAGAATGACTCAATACAGGTAGTCGAAGTAACGGACTATTTTCAACGACTTACCATTATCGCGACGTATATTATCGATAACATAATTTACTTTGGCGTGGATGCAAGTCGGTTATAAAATATTTCCACAGGTATAATATTGCTGTTGGGTGTTATTTTGGTTTGCCAGTTTCGAGGCGCGTTGTTTCGCGGCGGGCCTCACACACGGAATTAGGGCAATTCGAATGTCTTGAACCAAGACTCATCAAGACAACGTAGTAAATATTCTCATTGTAACGTATTATTATCGAAATTCCTTTCACACGAATAATCATCATATTTTCAAACATTAACGTCTTTCGTTCCGTGTTATATTTCGTACGTTATTACCAATGAGAAATTAAATATCGAATAGTTTAGAAAATTTAAATTGTATTTACAAATAAAAATATATGTTACTTAATTTTCGAAAATCACTCGAATTTGATATTGAAATATAATTCGTTATAATGTACAATTTGCATTGTTATAATGAAACAATGGATGAGACATTTAAGCTTCAACTTACATTTAAGCTTGACGTGCATATAATATTTGACAGTGGATGTATTTAGACGATGCATAAATATTATATTCTAAATATTTTTATACATTTGTGTCAGTTATTTTATGTGCAATAATTTTAGAAATATTGACAAGTAGATATTTTAAAATATTTTTAAACGTTTTAAAATTGTAGAATGATAAAAAGACAGTATAAATCACGTGGCATAAATGATATATCACTAAGAAAATATTGTCTTTGAAAAAGAAGATGCAATAAATCTAGAAAATAAATTTTCATTCAATATAGTAATTATTTTTAATTTGCTTAATAAAAGATTATAGGTATTTAATTTATAAAAATCATTATTTCGATAAATAAAAGATCCTTCTTCTCTATTTCTAGACGTGATATTTAAGTTTTTACAAGAATTCAAAGAATAATTTTTTTGAAAAGAGAAATCACACGAGAATGAAAATTGAATGAGAAATTTTCATTTACAAATATTTGCATAGCTCCTGCGATTCATTCAATTTTATAAAAACTTTTTTATTTTATTATATATTTTTATATTTTAAAGGAACAATAAATTTTTCTTAATCGCCTGATAAGCTTAAGAATTTTTTTATAGAATAAAAACATGTAGCTATGAAGATTTAAAAATCTATTCTGCCATCCAAAATAATAAGAAATCTCGAATAAAAATATCAAAGTTAAATTATTAATTTATTTATTATATTACTATAAAAATTTGTTGAATAAGTGGATAAGAAAATCTTGGTTAAATTTTTCTTCCATCAAAATAACCATCTTTATTCTGTCTTTAATTAAAAAAAAAATTTTAATTGTCGATAAACATTTAATACAAACAGATACTTTCATCATAATTATTTCTCAAAAAAATCTTTTATTCCACGAAAAAGAAATATAATTTATTAAATATATTAAGTATAAGATTTTCATCACCGATAATAAATTCAATTAATCACATATGCATACGATCATTGTTCCACAAAATACACAAATATAAAAAAATTTTCTCGTTACTATCTAGGCTATCAGGATATTCATGCTAATTTAAATTTCTATAAACACAAATACAAAAAATGAAATTAAAATAAAAATTCATTTCACCATTTTTATAAATAATACGTATTCCTTGGTTACACTCTACTATTTTGCATATCGTATTCACATTCTGTGGATTTATTTACATTTAAATTTTCCATAAATGTATAAATTTCCCGCGCTCTATTTATTACTTGAAAACGGGTTGAACGGTCGGGAGAGCAGGAACCGGGCCGCGAAAAAACAACTTTCGGATCCGTTTCCGCCCCGTTTCAAGGCAGGAACGATCGTGAACGTGCAAAAATTCGGATCTGCCGACTCATTGTTCCCCGTACCCGTGTTCGTTAATTGGAAAGTTTGACACCTGAATGAGATCGTAAAAATGTGGGGTGCGCCGCGCATGGAGGAGGGTTGGCCGGGGTCGGAGGAAAAAGGCGCGAAAATAGTGGTCGGGCGCGTAGGGTGGCAGGTGGGGGCGTCGTAAAATAATAAATTTGGTCCTTGACCACCCTGAAACCCATAACCAGCCTCTACAACCTGTCAAATGGTCGACCCAAATACTTTGGAAGCGTGAATAGTTTCGGGTACCTGCTGCACCCTGAAACGAGGTCTCTTGTCCCCCAATATCCTTCGCTTTCCTTTCGTCGTCCCTGTGTTTCGCTGTTTATTTTCAGTTGGCCATTCCAGAGCTTTCGCGTGTTGTAAACGTGTCGAAGTTATATTAATGTAGATGGGCAAACAGTTGTGGGATAAAAATAACTTAGTTTGCTATGCGCGCTCGAGAATCTGTATAAAATTGTGGTGTGCACCGAGCATTCTTAATAAAATATGAAAAATTAATATTATTGTGCACCGTGTATTTTTACAACGAGTGTGAGAGCATTGATATATATATTTTTAATAAGTGTGAAAAAAATAATATTATTAGTGTAGATTTATATTCTTAATAATGAAACGTGAGCAATTATTTAGAAAGTTTAAGAATTATTGAAAAAAATACCAGGAAATACGTATCCAACAAATATCGAGATTTTAATGGCACGAAATGGGAAAGTTAAAATTTTTAAGGAGAGAAAGAAAATTGATTATTACGATTTTAGTTTATAATTATATAATTATCTTGAATATTTTTATACAAAGAAATTTATTTTTATTTTTCGTGTTAAATTTAATCGAGTAAATTGAAATTGAATATATATAAATTAAAATCTGAATTTCCTTAAAAATGCTAAAATCCATGATATTAAGATCATGAGAGAGATAATCGATACGCAATAATAGATTCCGAGAAAATAACGCGATGCAAGTATGTGCAAAATGTAGCTCATACTGGTTTATAAATGTCACGGTGACTCAAAAAATCGAGAAAAAAAGGAACAAATTATCTTAAAATGCAAATTACCTTAAAAATGCTGATCCACGATATTAATTAAACGTGTTGATATAACAATAATGAATCCAAAAAGAGAGTGTGC